AGGAAAAACAGGTGGGACTCCCAGCCAGTGTTTCCGGCCAGAGTTCCTCAAAGCTCACTCGTTTTCTCACCCTTCAAAGTGGGGATGGGGCTAGGTCAGGACAGAGCAAACATTTTTTGACATTTTCTCTTGAGATAATTCTGGATTCTCAAGCAGTTATAAGAGCTAATTCAGAAAGGTCTTGTATATCCCTTCACAATATCCGTATTTTAATCTGTTACATACTGATACTCTGCTTGGGGCTGGCATCACAGAGACAAGATTGTCTTTGTCCTTGGAGACTGTAGAGGCCAATGGGGAGCATATACAGGAATAGTTAATATAGAGTTAGTTAAAACAAAAATGTAATGCACTGTCACCTATCTATTAGCAAGTAAAAATAATAGCAACAATCTTCTAGCTAAGCTACTGGGAAAGAGACACTTCCATGCTTTATTGGTAAGAGTGTAAAGTGAGGCAAATGGGGAAGCAAGTTGGTAATATGTAGGAAATATTTTTATCTTTCAGCTAATATTTTTTGAGTGCCTGCTCTGTGCCAAGGCACTAGACTAGATTCTGGGGGAAATCGGTGAACAAAGCAGACACTGTCCAGACCTTCTAGAGCTCGTCTTGTTTATAGGCAGATAAGCTTTTGTGAAAAGTGCTATCACCAGCAATGTAAAGATGTTACAGAAGCACATGTGAGGGAAGTTACATTCAGCCTTTGGTGATTAGGGAAGGAGATAGTAGATTCCATCTACTAAATGATAAACAGGAGCTAGCGAGAGGAAGAGGAGACAGTGCAGTGTGGAGACAACGTGCTTTAAACAGAAGTGGGAGCAGGAACAGCACATGGGAAGGCTCGGAATGAAAAGAGAATGGCCTAAAACTCTGGCAAAATTACCTCAAGGAATAACCCAGAATTCAAAAAAAAAGAAAGAAAGAAACAACAGCAGCAGAAAAAAAACAAACCCACAAACCTATCAAACATTGACTTTTATCACATCATTACTTAAATAGTGGAATACTGAAAAATATCTATTTCAATAAAAGAGATTTGGTCAATTTATAGATGGTACATCCACAATATGGAATATTTTGTAGCCATTTAAAATAATGCTTACAAAGTATTTTATAAAATACCAAAAATGCCTATGCTAAAATGTTGAATGAAAAAAGCATACATAATTTTATATCTGATATGACCACGACCGTGTTACGTGTGTGTGTGTGTGTGTGTGTGTGTGTTTGTAATTACATGGAAGGAGACAGGTTAAAATGTTAATTGTCTTTGGATGGTGAGATTATAGGTGATTTTTATGTATATGCTTTTATTAGCATGATAGTTAGCAAAACCCAGCTCTACCATCTGTGCAATCTCAGGCAAGTCACTTAACTTCTGTGTCTCTGTTTCCTCACCTGTAAAATAGAAATAATTACAGCACCTGCATGATAGATTGCTATAAGCATTTTCATAGCACAGTATCTGGGCAAGCTACTACTATTATTGTATCAATTATTATTGGGTTGTCGGAAAAGTCATGACACATTTTTGCAACTAAAAACAGAAAAAATACGTCATGACTTTTCCGACAACCCAATAGTATTCTGCTATTTTTTAAATTTTTTCTATAATCCACTTACATAACTTTTATAAAGGGAAAATGTTTACATCACTCTTCACTAAAATAATTGCCTTATATTGTTAGTGGCATGTGTTTTGTAAATGAGCACACTGAAAAGGGGTGGCTAACCACCTTGGGGAAACAGAAAGGTGTCAGAGAAGGTCAGAAGGATGCTGTCTGGGCTGACTTTTGATGAAGAAGGACTTAGGGAGCAGGAGGGCGGAAGAGAATTCCAGACAAATGGAGCATCATACGAACACTTAGGATCTTAGTAATTTCAAGGCTGGGAGACCATCCAATTCTACTTTCCAGCCCTGCAGGTCTCCCTCTGCCCCTCGCCCTACAGGTTCCTAAATGCACTACTTTTTGAGCAAACCCATCTTGTGTCTGGATGGCTCTTTTTTAATTACTAATTTTTATTGTGAAATACACATTTTTTAGAATTAGTTTCAGCTGTACAACACAGTGCAATTGTTATACTTTTTACCCCTCGAAGTGACAACCACCCCGCACTTCCGCCACCCCACTTCCCCCCCAATATCATACATATCTATTACAATTCCCTTGACTCCACTCCCACACTATACTCCACGTCCCATGACCATATATATATATATATATATATNATATATATATATATATATATATATATATATATATATATATATATATATATATTGACATACAATACTATACAACATCAGCTTCAGGTGTATAGTGCAGTGATCAAGCTTCTACCCCATCCATGATGCAGTCTCCCTAGCAAGACATGTGACCATCTGACACCCTACAAAATATTTACAACATGGATGGTTCTCTTTTAGAAAGTGTTTCCATCCATGGGAATTCATCTACCATTGCACTTGCACACATACACATCAGAGCAAAACCTAAGCAACACGCCTCGCACCAACAGACACTGTCAGGGTATGAGTCACCCAAACGTGGCCATCAAGGCAATATTCCTCACTCTGCTGCATGGATGTGGTGCTTGTGCTTAGCTTTGAGATACCTTACAAGCTTTATTCGCTCTATTGTTTTAGTGCAAAAGCCATAACAGTGTTGAAAGTTTAGGTAAACAGTATTACATGATGGCAATAGAAAGAGAGAAAGTTTAAAAATATGAAAATAATGCTTTTCCTCTTAATAATAGTATAATTGATTCTGAAGAAAAAAGTGAATTTATGAACATGTGAAAACTATTGGGATGGTTGGCACATACAAAGAAGAGATGGAATTGGAAAACAGTTAAGTATGTAGCTAGAGAAACAACATCAATATTGTATGCCAATAGGAGAAGACTAGAAATACATTAAGAAACTTAAAGGTTAGGGCTGGTGAGAGACTTTATTGTAAGCTTGTAGGTCTGAGCCCCACTGGAAACTAAACAACATCAGCGAATGCTACACTAACAGGTACAGACCTTGTAGTAACTGTTACCTGTACCAACACCTTTGAAATATAGTTAAAACTGAACTACATGAGAAAGATAGCATTATGAATCAGTGAAGAAAAGAGGTTATTTGATAAATTTGTTGGGACAACTGGATAAAAAGATGGAAAATAAAGTTGGATCCCAACTTCTCTCTTTACATCAAAATTAATTCCTGATGGATCAAATCCTTAAATGTGAAAAATGAAACTATAAGAATTTTTTTTTGAGAATTACAGATAGGTGAAGACTCTTCTATTATGACATAACACCCAGAAGTCATAAATGTTTTACATGGACAAGATCTCACCACAGCATAAACTCAGAAAAAAATATTTGTAGTTCATACCAACTGCAAAAGGTCTGTTTTCATGGTATATAAAGCTATCCTACAAATCAATAAGAAAATACCAACAACTCAATGGAAAATAGAAAAAGAAATATGACAGCTCCTGATCTACATGAAAAGATGCTCATTGCATCCATAACAAGAGGAACATTAATTAAAATTAACCCACATATTTTTCACCCATAAAATGGGGAGAGCTCAAGAATGTGATAACACATTGTCATATATTGGAGTTGTAAGTTAGTAAACTTTTATGAGGGGGAATTTGGCATTATAAATCAAAACTACAAATGTGAGGCCTTTGACCTAGGAATCCCACCTCTACTCTAACAATTTATCCTTCATAGATCCTAACATATGTAATGTATGTATACAGTTACTGATTGCACCATTGTTTATAAGAGCAAAGACAGATATGGTGTCGAATCATTATGTTGTTTTGTACACCTGAAACTCATAATAAAATTTTAAAATGCTGTCATCGCTAAATAATGAAAAAAAAATAAGAGCAAAGATAGAAAACAACCTAAATGTCTATCAATATCAGACTACTAAGTGGCTATTTTCAAAATGAGCAGATCTTTATGTTTAGATATGAAAACAAGTCTAAGATATATAATTAATTGGAAAAAGCAAAATGTATAGCATACTATAATTTGTGTTAATAATAGAGAGCTATTCAGATGATAGATGGAGATACATTTTTGCTTGTAATAATAGAGAGCTATTCAGATGATAGATGGAGATAAGTTTTTGCTTGTATATGTTTAGAATATTTCTGAAAGGATAACCGAAAACTACTAATGGTGATTGCCCCCTCAGAGGCATACTTGATAGCTGGAAGTCTGGGTTGAGAGAGAGAGAGAGAGAGAGAAAAGTTCTACTGTAATGCACCTTTGCACCTTTTGAATGTTTTCTCATAAACATGTAGAAGCTACTCATAATAAATTGAATTTAAAAACAAAGTCCCTGCTCCAAGCAAATCCCTTGTTCTTCTCTGCTACTCCCGTAGTTTTTACTCACTCTTTCATTGTGTTTGCATATTTATATCACCTACAAAACCATGAGTAATTTGAGGGCTGCGACTGTGTCTCCACTGAGTTTCCATCGCCAGCGGCTAGCACGGTGCCTTACATATGAAAAGGACTTTTGAAAAGTGGTATCTTGAAGAGTGATGAAGGCCCTTTCCTTGGAAGGAAGTCTGGCCATCTTTCCATATGGCCTAATACAACAGCTGAGCAGCTCTGCAAAGCCCTATGTCTGTTCACATACCAGTCCTGGAATTCTACCTTGAAACATGCCCTATCTTTTAAGAGAAGGGAGGATGAGAAAGAGAGAGAAACAAAGAGAGGTCAAAACTGCAACTGAGCTATATTCTATAGCCAATTCAGTTGATTTCATCTCAGCTCAGGTACAATGAGCACTTCCTAAGGGCAGGCCTTCCTAATGGGGTGGCCCACATTTTTATTAGCAATAATCTCTGCCGCCTTCTGATTATCTAGATTTAAGACCACATAATCATCTTCTACGTCACAGAGTGGAGGGAGGAGGGGGAGGAAACAGGATAAGAGGTTCTAAATCCCTCCTAACACTTGCTTCTTCCCTATCAGCAAGATTAGAGCAGTCAAGAGCTGTCCGCATATGTGTTCAGACCCAGTAGGCAGGCTGGGCTGCCCAGGGCCTGAGGAGGGGGCCCCTCTACGAGCAATGCCTGGGACCCTAGGTCTGTGGTCCAGGGCAGCCTCTCTAAGACAGTGCAGGGCACATGATCTTTCCTCCTAGTGGCAGTGAGAAGGCTGGGGACCCTAGGACAGCCAGGAAGGAAAGGCAAGGGGTCTGCTTCTCGCAGCCATGCTGAAACACAGCGACAGGAGGCCGTCTTGGAGCTGCAAACCCTGGACTACTACTGAGTTTGACAACGCACTCCATGCAGGAAACCACCAACACCGCAGGACCATCTGCTCCTTGGGGGGCCATTCCGGCTCCCAGGGCAGCATCCTACCATGGACTGAGGGCAACTATAACTACTACATCGAGGAGGACAAGGACGGGGAGGAGGAGGAGGATTGGAAGAACGGCCTGGCCGAAGAGGACCAGCAGGCAGAGGAGGCCACCACCGCCCGGATGGAAGACCACACTGACTCTCCCGCTGTGCTGTCGACACTGAATGTGAACGTGGGAGGCCAGAGCTACCGCCTGGACACCACCGAGCTGGCCTGCTACCCCAAGACTCGCCTGGGCCGCCTGGCCACCTCCACCAGCCGCAGCCGCCAGCTGGGCCTGTGCGACGACTACGAGGCGCAGACGGACGAATACTTCTTCGACCGCGACCCGGCCGTCTTTCAGCTCATCTACAACTTTTACATGTCCGGGGTACTGCTGGTGCGCGACGAGCTGTGCCCGCGCAGCTTCCTGGAGGAGCTGGGCTACTGGGGCGTGCGGCTCAAGTACACCCCACGCTGCTGCCGCATCTGCTTTGAGGAGCGGCGTGGCGAGTTGAGCGAGCAGCTCAAGATCCAGCGGGAGCTACGCGCCCAGGCGCAGGCCGAGGAGGCGGAGGAGCTCTTCCGCGACCTGCGCTTCTGCGGGCTGCAGCGGCGCCGCCTCTGGAACCTCATGGAGAAGCCCTTCTCATCGGTGGCTGCCAAGGCCATCGGGGTGGCCTCCAGCCTCTTCGTCCTCATCTCCATCGTGGCGCTTACTCTCAACACGGTGGAGGAGATGCATCAGCAGGCAGAGCAGGGCGGCCGGCGGCCCATCCTGGAGCACGTGGAGATGCTGTGTATCGCTTTCTTCACGCTCGAGTTCCTGCTGCGTCTCGCCTCCACGCCAGACCTGCGGCACTTCGCACGCAGCGCCCTCAACCTAGTGGACCTGGTGGCCATCCTGCCACTCTACCTGCAGCTGCTCATCGAATGCTTCACAGGCGAGGACCAGGAGCACGGCAAAGTCTCGTCCCGGGAGCACGACCTTGAGACCGTGGGTAAGGTGGGCCAGGTACTCCGCATCATGCGCCTCATGCGCATCTTCCGCATCCTCAAGCTGGCCCGCCACTCCACCGGCCTGCGAGCCTTCGGCTTCACGTTGCGCCAGTGCTACCAGCAGGTGGGCTGCCTGCTGCTCTTCATCACCATGGGCATCTTTTCCTTCTCCGCCGCCGTCTACTCAGTGGAGCACGACATGCCTGGCACCAACTTCACCAGCATCCCCCACGCCTGGTGGTGGGCCGCGGTGAGTACCGAGGCCCTGGGCTTGGTCACCCTCTTCCCCAGCCCGGCAGGAGCAGGTCCTCCCTTTCCATGGTTATTAGCCACCTGTCTTCGTCCCCTGATGTTTCCCCTGCCTTGTGCCAGGACCATGCCATCTCTGCCTTAACAGAAACAGAGGTGGGTGTTAGAGGGTTGGAAAGACATAGACGCTGTGTGTAGTCCAGTAAGTAACTGACTTTGACTTGGTCCTAGGAATCTCCAAATCTAGGTTTAGCAGATTTTAAGGAGGATTCATTGTTGATGTTTGTGGAAAACTTCCTCATCATCATTCTTGTTATTTGTCACTTATTGAACACCTATTCCCCTGAGCACTTTATAACTTCATCTTAACCCTGAGGTGGTTATAACCACTATTGCTATTTAAAACAGGACACATTGGAAGTGGCTTCAATCTTTTAAGGAAACTGTAGATTTATTCAGTAGAAGAAGTGAGATTTGGCTAAACACCGTCCATCCTAACTGAAATCCTACTGGTTCTAGTTAAATCTGAGTGTGTACAGAAGCGTCTAAAACTGAAACTGTCTCCAATGTCACTAAAATTCTTTCATGACTGAATAGTACTGCCCCATTTTACAGCTAGAGGAACTGAGATGCAGAGAGTTTGACTGTAGACACACAGCTAAAGGTGGCAGAGTGAGGACTAAAACTCAAGTTGCTGCAAAATCTATGGCCTTTCCACGTCCCAGCACTGCCTCTTTCATGCTTTAGTTCTTGTGCAGGCCTCACAGTTAATATATTGGTTATTTTTCTCATTACTTTCTTTGGTATTTGCCTTTTATAATAACTTATTCCATCAACTCACATATCTATATTTCTGGGATGCTACACTAAATTCCTGGAAAATCCCCATATCCCTGAAAATGCTGATTAGGTCTTCTCAGCTCAGTGCATAAGTTGACACGTGCATAGGGAAGAACTGGATGAATGGCTTCCTTATTATTTTTTTTGAGTAGATAATTTGTAATGCCTTTAAAGACATTAAGCAGATATAACCAGTTTTTCCCATGTTAGAAAGTCTATCTTTTCGACATTAACATTGGGTATGTCAGACTCCACAGTCTGATGTGAACTTCTGAGATGAACCAACCCAGGGCTCCTAACAGTGAAGTGCAACGGGATGGAAGATTTGGATTTAGATTCTAGTCCCAGACCTGCCAATAATTAACGCGACCCTGAATAATGAATGAGCTGTGAATGCTTGCTCCTTCACTCCCTGTCCTCGTTGTCTTCATCTTTTAAACGGGAGGATGTAGAGCTCTACAGTTCACTGAGTCTTCCTTCCTTGGAAAGTGAGTGCTCATATGTACAACAGGATGTGTGAGCTTTCTTCAGTGACGGGATGAGGTTAGGCTCTTCCAAATGAACTAGCCAAATACTGCTCCTCTGATCATATTCCAATAACAAAAGGTCATCCCCATAGTAGATAAACCCTGTGTATAGATCAAGCTGATAGAGGATGATTTGTCCCCAGCAACTGACATTTACTTTGGAGGCGAGTAAAGCGGGAAGGAAAAAGAACAAATCCACATGCTGATGATATAATTCCAAGGTTTAGACAGTCAAGTTTCCATTCATCCAAATAACTTAGAAGGCTACGTATAGAAACTGGGCTTAGTGGACTCTATGATACTCTAGTTTTAACCCACAAAAGTTTTTTTACTGTTTGTATATTAAGATTTTCATAAAATTTTAAAAGTTATTTATTTTTTCAGTTACAGTTGACATTCATTGTTATTTTATATTAGTTTCAGATGTACAGCATAGTGGTTAGACTTTTATATAATTTATGCAGTAATCCCCTAGTAGCCACCTGGCACTACACATATTTATTGCAATATTATTGACTATATTCTCTATACTGTACTTTACATCCCCATGACTGTTTTGCAACTACCAATTTGCATTTCTTAATCCCTTCACCTTTTTCACCCAGCTCCCCAACCCCCCTCCCACCTGGCAACCATCAGTTTGTTCTCTGTATCTATGAGTCTGTTTCTGTTTTGTTTATTCATTTATTTTGTTTTTAGATACCACATATAAGTGAGATCATCTGGTATTTGTCTTTCTCAGTCTGACCAATTTCACTTAGCGTAATGCCCTCTAGGTTCATCCATGTTGTCACAAATGGTAAGATTTCATTCTTTTTCATGGCTGAGTAATATTCCTGTGTGTGTGTGTGTGTGTGTGTGTGTGTGTGTGTGTGTGACATCTTCTTTATCGAATCACCTATTGATGGGCACTTGGGTTGCTTCCACACCTTGATTATTGTAAATAATGCTGCCATGAGCATAGGGGGTGCATATATCTTTTCGAACTAGTGTTTTGGATTTCTTTGGACAAATACCCAGAAGTGGAATTGCTGGGTTATAAGATAGTCAATTTTTAATTTTTTGAGGAACCTCCAAACCATTTTTCACAGTGGCTATACCGGTTTGCAGTCCCACCAACAGTGTATGAGGGTTCCCTTCTCTCTGCATCTTCACCAACATTTGTTGTTTGTTGATTTATTGATGATAGCCATCCTGACAGGTAAGAGATGATATCTCACTGTGGTTTTTGAATTTCTCTGATGATTAGTGATGTTGAGCATCTTTCATATGTCTGTTGGCCATGTGTATGTCCTCTTTGGAGAAATGTCTATTCAGGTCCTCTGCCCATTGTTTAATTGGATTGTTTTTTTTGGTGTTGAGTTGTATGAGTTCTTTATAAATGTTGGATTTTAACCCCTTATCATATGTATCACTGGCAAATATCTTCTCCCATTCAGTAGACTGTCTTTTGTTTTCTTGATGGTTTCCTTTGCTGTGCAAAAAGTTTTTAGTTTGATTTTTATAAAAATTTTGTTGCTATTATTGGATTTTTCTTTTGAAAAAATTTTCTGAAGTAAATGTCCATTAATTCCCTTTAATTTCTTGATCTGTTTAACATACAATAATGTTTGGCATTTTCAAATTATCCCCTTTTTATAGTAACAAATTATTTTACTCAAGATCAGTGTTTTCCATAAATTTTACAATAAAAATTGAATTGACATTTTGGTTTTCTATACCTATATCTATATCTAAATATCTAGATATATAGATAGATTTTTTTTTAACCAATGCAAGCTATCTTTTGTGGACATTGTTTCTATCAGGCCATGTTTTCACAAGCCAAAACTTGCACATTTCAACTTTACCACTGCCCAACCTTAGCTTTTACCAATGGCTTTTGTCCATTTTATTATCTGACAATTATTATTGCCAGTAAAAATCATTATGAATTAGATATAAGACTGATCATTTGTATTGGTTTCTTAACTAATCTATGAAAACAATAAGAGCAATTCCTCTGAACACTCCAGGACTACCGTATTCCTGAGGGCTGATTTTTATTAGCTCAGTTCTGCTGACACTGCACATTGTGTATTAAGGGTTATAGTTGTCTCAGTAGAGCAAAGAGAAAAGAACACTGTCCAAATGATGGAGACAAAATGTCTTATTTCCTTATGTAGATGCAAAGTAAAAGGATGCAAAATATCAGGGCCAATTCCTCATGTTACCTACAAAACCCCATGGTATTCATTCACTGAGCGAGAAGGTTTTGAGCATCTCCAGTGTGCCAAATATTATTCTAAATACTAGGAATAGCGAGTGATTTAAAAAAAAAAAGTAACATTCCCTCATAGAGTTTATGTTCTAAAGGAGAAAGATAATAATTTCAGATATCGGTGTGTCTTGTATAAGACAATAAAATAGAGAGTGACTTGGATGACAGAATCTACTTTTCTGCCTTTGATGCGATGGTCAGAGAAGCCCTCTTGGAGAAGATCACATTTAGGTAAAATTTGAACAATGAGAAGAAACTCATCTAAATAGATATGACTAAACAGACATGAGAATCTGAGAAGTTCAATACGAGAAGTAACTCTGACCCAATGGTCTCCAAGCATTTTATTGATCATACATGTCATAATGAAAAAAGTTTTGAGCACACCCGTGATAAATGTGTATTTAGTTATTCATAAATTCTAAGTTATATATTGCCACAATAATGATGATTCACAAACCACCCCAAAACGCAATGACTTAAAATGCCAAGCATTTCTTTAGCTCATGAGTTTGCAAGCCAGCAATTTAGACTGGTTTCAACTAGAAGGTTCTTCTCATTTGATCTGGTGTCAGTCACGCATATATCTGATGGTCAGCTGGCTGACAGCTAGGATGAAGGAGAAACCAGGCCACATGTCTTTCGTCCTCCAGCAGACATGTATCCATGGCCATGACAAAGGGCAAGAGAGAGAGCGAGAGAGCAAGCCCACTCACACAAGCACTATAGAAGCACTGTTCATTTGCTGAACCCATCACCCAAAACAACTCTGAAAGCCAACTCAGAGACAAAGGGCAGGGCAGGTTAGCCCACGCATTATCAAAAGCACTGCAAAGTTGTATGGCAAAGAGCTTGGATGTAGGAAGATATCAAGAATTAGGTCCCATAATAAATCACTCTACTGCAGTAAGATATTCCTGCTGAAATATATTATACCCATCAGAAAACATACTCACACATTGTAATTTTAAAGATGGGGTAAAGAGTAATAGGATTGATATCTTCTTCCTCCACTCCAGGGCTGAATCCCTCATGGTATAGTGACCCACATCAGAAACAGATTCTCTGCTCCATTCTTCTGCATGTTTTAGCACTTTCAGACAATCTCAAAGCTGACTTGCTTTTAAAAATCTTTCCTCTCTCTCTGTTAAGGATCCTGCAACCGTCCTCTGTTCAGCTCGAGGTTTTAAAGAGGAATACAGTAATTTTTATTATTGTGAATTCTCCTACAGCTACAGAACAAATCCCTCGTGGACATTTATGTCTGCAAATGTTCATGCATTAGGCTATTAGACCGGTCCACTTGTTTGTCACATAGAGGTGATTTGCGAGCACTGATGTAATAGCAAACATATGTAAAATGCTAGCCTGTAG